GTTTGCCCACCATTTCTGGTTTTTATGTACTGCCAGTAAAAATAAAGCTCTGAAGATGAAAAGCAAAATATTTCTCACTCTGGAAGATTCATAAGCAAAACAGTCTACACAGCTCAACTACAGGGAAATTCATAGAGGACTTAGATGCAGGAATAAGGTATCTTTTCAGAATAATTGCACCATCAAACTATCAGTCTATCAAATGATACAACTCAAACATTTATTACAGGAGACCCAGATGAAACATAAAGATGAGAGAGCCAAACTCACCAATGCCATTCTCAGTGACATTAAAGTAATCAAACTGTATGGCTGGGAGAAAACCTTCATGGAGAAAGTGCTTGGTATTCGGAAGCAAGAACTTCAGGCCCTGAAAAGATCTCAGATTCTCTTCTCAGCATCCCTAGTTTCTTTCCATTCATCAACTTTCCTGGTGAGTGGCTCACCTTTCTACATAAAACACGTGCTATTACTTCCATTTCTCTTTGTGCTCCTGCCTGGACAGATTTTTTTCTGTGGGACAGCTAAAGATTAGTTCTGCCTGGAGGAATTGGTGGTCTCAGAGGAGTTTCTGTGCCCCAGTGGAATCAGGCACACAGATATTTACATTGCAGTTCCATGGACAAGTTGTCTGGTCTGGCACTGTGCTCCAGGCAGCCTGAGCCTGCTTTGCAAGATCCAGTGGGAAAACTCCAAGCTAGACAGTTGATGGCACAGTCAGTAGCTACATAAGCCACATTTGCATTTGCTGTTGCAGCTCAGTCATGTGTGTTTTCAGTGGGAAACTGCTGCACTCTCCCCTTGCTGAGGTTGCAGCACCAACCCTCCTTAAGACAGAACAAAAGTCAAATGATTACTCTGTCACCAAAATGCAAGACTTTTGCTGTGATACCTGCAGGATGGGTACCATGCATATAGGTGATAGCCTGGATTTAACTAAATGGGTTCCAGTCTTTAAGAAGGGGCTTGTCACCTTTGAACCATTCTCTTCACTGTGTGAACCAAATGCTTTGCTTTTCCTTTGCTTCCTTTCAGGTTGCATTTGTCATGTTTGCTGTGTACACTCTGGTGGATAACACACACATCCTGGATGCTCAGAAGGCCTTTGTGTCTTTAACACTGATCAACATTCTCAACACTGCGCACTCCTTCCTGCCATTCGCTTTTTCTTTGCTTCCTTTCAGGTTGCATTTGTCATGTTTGCTGTGTACACTCTGGTGGATAACACACACATCCTGGATGCTCAGAAGGCCTTTGTGTCTTTAACACTGATCAACATTCTCAACACTGCGCACTCCTTCCTGCCATTCTCCATCAATGCTGTTGTCCAGGTGAATTGCAGGCTGTGTTCCTTTTCCTTTGGCCACAAGTGTTTTTTTTACATATCACCATTAACAGGTAAAGGTGGAGATTTCTCAGGGCTTTGCATGTCAGTTATTTAATTGTTGTTGTTAAACAGTGAAGTGTCAAGACTTGCAGCTAAAGGTGCTTTGTAGTACTGTTTTTCAGAAAGACTCCTTATATTGACAAAAAAGTCAACAAGAATTACTCAGAAGTCTTTTGGAAGTCATCACAAGTCCCATTAGATCTCAGAGATGCTTCCTGTTCTGTTTTTAATCACAGAAAGCAGAACAGATGGAGCAAAATCTCTGTAGGGGATCAATGGAAACTCTGCTAGCTGGGCCAGAAAGAAAAGCAATTTGTTGTCCAGTAAGAAATCAGGAAATTCATTTCCCTCTTACACTCCAAGAAGACTGTCACAGCTTTTCATGTACAGAAGCAATCACTGTAAAGATTGCAGGATGAATTGGAGAAAAAAATGCATCAGTTTCACTGAACAGAAACACAGAGAAGGATATGGATTTTTTGCTAAGTAGAAATAAAGGCAGTTAAGATAAGGAAGAGCTGCATTTAACCATCTAACCCTGCAGCACCTGCAGTATAGCACCTAGTCAATATTCTAAGTGGGTCTTCAAGTTGAATCTTCACTTTGTGTTTTTGCTCACTTTCTGTTCTTAATGTTATTTTTGTTTGTGTGCTGCTTCATTTCAGGCCAAAGTTTCTTTAAACCGCTTAGCAGCTTTTCTGAGCCTGGAAGAACTGACTCCTGAGAGCTCAAGCAGAAGCACTTCTGACTGTGGTGAGATTTTCTGTTAGCACTGTTGTCTTGTGAGAGGAGTAACTTCCATTGTTCAGCTTCCACTCCGGGGGTGCCTACCATAGCACAGAGAAAAATATTTGCCCCTTACTGTCACTTTATCTCTCAGGCCTGTTTATGTCTAATAGTGAAATCTAATCTGGTAATTTACCCCTTCTTTTCATACCTAAGGATCATTTTATGCACTATAAATACACACTGAAACATAAAATCACATTAAAAAAGGGCATTTCTGTAGCTACCTTTGCATTTACAAGTGTTCTTTTTCTCTTCATATTTTAGTCCAGGCAAGTATCACCGTAAAAAATGGGACTTTTTGCTGGAGCAAAGAAACTTCTCCCTGTCTTAGAAGGTATAGACTTACCCTTAGTCATCTCAGTTCTGTAGGTCAGGGAGGGTGCTAAATGAACTAATTCATCAGGGTCAAAGTGAAACCAGTATGGAATATCCAGAGACTTCTGAGTTTGCTTCATATTTAACATTGAATTCTGAAAATTATAATCTTATAATCTTGCTTTTATATTTCGGAGCACATAAATGGGAAGGTACCTGTATCTAGATGTTGCCTTCATATATTAAGGCTGTTTTCTTTACACATTTTTCTTGTCCAAATATGAAATTAAGTCAAAAGAGTACAAATGGAAGGTATGCAGACATTATATAAGACATCGCTACATGGTTTTTTCAAAAGGCATTGATGTTTTAGAAGAAACAGTGTTGAAAAGTTGTAATGTTCAGGAATATTTCATATCCAATGCTTTGGGCTAGCCTGTCTTCAGAGTGGGGATCTGGGTTTGAAACTTAGATGGGGATGTGGATGAAGACTTTCTGGTTGCAGGTGTCTTTGAAAGGATGAGATTAGGGAGATCAGCTGGTACATTTTTATTGCTACAAGACAATAGCAAGAATTTTGATAATTTTCTTTTCAGAAAGTGTATCTAAAATGTGACAAGAAACTGATCTTTTCTCCATAGGATAGATCTTACTGTGCCCCAGGGCTACTTGCTTGCTGTAGTTGGCCAGGTGGGTGCTGGAAAGTCCTCCTTACTGTCAGCACTACTTGGTGAGCTGGAGAAGATGGATGGCTGTGTAACCATGAAGGTACATTCCCCCTTGAGCATTTGCTTTAAATTAGGCTGTTTTCAGGAACAGTAAGGTATTAACCAAGGCCTCAGGTACTTGATGAAAACCCATTTACTGCTGAATTTTAACACAGGCTGTACACATCAGTCCACATTTAATTATCTGAAGGTGCTGGAGACCACTCATATGAGCCTGGACTTTGGGACTAGGAGCTAGAACAGGAATTTCAAGATCCAGTTCCATTTCCCACTCTTGACACTGAGCTGAAGTGTCATCCTGGTAAATTGCATCATGTACTTTCACCTCTGTTTCCTCCACTGGAAGACAATAAGAAGACAGACTTGTATCTTTCAAAGCCCTCTGAGACATATCAATGGTGTTGATCATTCCAGATTTTTGTAACTGAGAGCGTTTTGCTTCAAAGATGGATTCCCACAGTGTCAAGCTGAGCTTATGAAAATGAATGCTAACATTCTTCCACTTTTATAGGACACTGCAGCTTATGTCCCCCAGCAAGCTTGGGTACAAAATGCTTCTGTGGAAGATAATATCCTCTTTGGGAAAGAGATGGATGAAACATGGTTCAATAGAGTGATAGATGCTTGTGCACTGCACCCTGATTTGGAGAGCTTCCCTGCAGGGCAGAAGAGTGAAATAGGAGAGAAGGTACTGGCTTAAGTTTATATTTTGGCCAACTTGTCCTTGAGTGGCTGCAAGTTTGGGAGTCCTTAAAACACCTACAAAGGAACTAAACTTTCAGGAGGCAGGTGCTCAGCAATTTCTGGAAATATTTAAGATTTAATCTGAAGCTCACCTCCTGACAGTTAACCTAACCAGAGACATATGAGATGCTTAAAACAGAAAAATCAACAACTCCAAGTCATTCTTGGGTGCTCTTTTGCAGGAGAGAGAACACCCTCAAGAGACTCTGCCTCTGCAAGAGTCTTATATGGAGGGAGGGAGAGGCACTGATTTAAAAACACGGAAGTCATAAAACCTCAGTGTAAAATGTAGTCAACAGTTGGCAAATATGCTGTAGCTTTAGGGTAAACAGAGTCAATACATTTTTACAGGGAATAAATCTATCTGGAGGGCAGAAGCAAAGAGTGAACCTTGCTCGTGCTGTGTACCAGAAAGCTTCAATTTACTTACTCGACGATCCTCTCTCAGCTGTTGATGCCCATGTTGGACAGCACATTTTTGAACACGTTCTTGGACCCAATGGCTTACTGAAGGACAAGGTGTGTTAGCAATCCTGAACTGTAAACAATTGCACAATGTATCTAATCAGCATAGCCCCTGAAATGTTTCCAGTAAGCTTGGTTCCTCACTTTATCAAAGGCTCACAAATTCTCTTTTGCTAGTGGCAGCAGGAACTACTGTTGGCAGCAGTGGAATGGGTAAACTCTGCAGGCCACACAGTACCTGCAGGTCCTGCAGTGAATCTCACCTAGGAGGAGGAAGACTCTCTTTATCCTCATGCAAACCACATGCCTTATTCCAGCCTTACTTCTACAGCAAGTTTACAATTCTTTGGTCTTCTGTCAACATTATGCTTCTCTCTTATTGAGATTTACTTCTAGTGTAGTCAGGAAGAGCTGCCTGATCTCTCCCAGCAAATTGTATCATCATGTCTAATCCCACCACTTTTGAGTATTTCAGTGGCACCTTTACAGTTCTCATCACCCAAATGTTCATCACTTAAACTTCAGTCTTAAAATCCATCTTAAACACTTTTTTTTTTGCCTTGGCTGTGTTCTGCTATCACTTGGTATCTCTCTGCTGTCAAGCAATCTGGATAATAAATGTGGTACATAAGAATGGATGTTAGGGAAGCTCTATTTGATTCACAGTATAAATTGCCTAAAAATACTTGATTCAGTTTCATATTATAGATGGAAAACAGGTAATTTCTTGCAGTAGAAAGTGCAATTAAAACAGACATGTCTGAGTATAAACACCTTTCTCTCCATGAGGCTTGATTACAAGTATCAAAGCGTAGTTACTGTATTGAAACAGAGTGACTGGCTAAGAGCAATGTATCAGACTAAATGAGTACTCAAAGGGCTTGACTGTGTATTAGAAATATAGAAAATGCCAATTTATCTAGGGTTCTTATGTCCTTTCCTACATATAATTATATCATAGTTTGCACTGAGTCCATGTCTGTCTTCAGAAACCAGCTGAGTGCAACAGTTCAAGTTAGCAGGGGAACACCCGAACAATTGTAACTGTTCCCTCTTTATTCAAGCAGACTCGTGTGCTGGTGACTCACACAGTCAACATTTTGCCTCAAGTGGACAAAATTGTTTTTCTGGTGGATGGAATGATCTCAGAAACTGGTTCTTATCAAGAACTTCTACAAAGAAATGGGGCATTCACAGAATTTCTTCATTCACACATGACTGTGGAAGAGAAGGCATGTGCTGGTTTTCCAGGTAACCCAAAAGAGCTGGAATCACTCTTCCTAGGTCTATCAGTCAATTGTTTCCTTAGTATCACATTTGTTTTATTATGGACTTTTAAAGCCAAGATCCAATCACGGTAAGTTGTTGCTTTATGTGTGGAAAAATATACCTGCCAAATTAGTTGACTCATCACCTCAAAACTGGTTCTTGAATCTACCTTAGTAGACAACAAAACTGCAGTAAACAGAATTACCCACTGTATGTGCTATTCTTCAAGCCTCACCTTCATATTTCTACCTTCAGAAACAATTCTTTGTAATCAATCTTTCCTCCATATTACCAATCTTTCAAAGATTACAGGACAAAAGGTGGTTTCTAAAGCATTTAGATAAAAAAATGCATTTATTTCACTGCTATAGGAGACACCAAAGGCACCATCACCTCTACAAATGGTCCATCTCAGAAGAAACTCTTTAGGTAAGCTGAAAGTGGTCTCAGACACTGAAGAACTTACTTCGAAAGCCTATACAAGCCTACGTGGAGGCTCTTACTGAGTATGATACAGGTTTGGGATTGATCTGTAAATTTATAAGAGCAAACAAGCAAAACTTAAGAACAGGTTAAAAACCTCTTGAATGTGGAGGTTGACTAACCTGTGTTTCACAAGGAGCCAGAACAGAGCTCACATACAGGGCATGTTGATACACTTGTTTGCTGTTCACTTCTCAATGGAGTTGTGAGGTCTGACTCATTCCAAACCAGCCACAGCAAGTGACTGCTTTAAGCCTCTGCTTGTTAATAGCCTGAGAGAACCCAGTCCCTGTGGAAACATGGACAATGGTTGGGGTCACTTCAGAGGACCCTGAAAACTGCAGCCCTCAAAATAAGCATGATTGTGGGGGTGGACGGGTAAGGAGATCCAGCTTTAAAATACTCATTGCCTGGGCCAAAAATTGAAAGGATTTTTATTTTCTTAACAAAGTGGAAATTCAGTCAACTCCTCTGCTGTGGGAAGGGAGACCATTCCTGCAAGTCAAGACTGTACCACTGCTGCAGCCACCAAAGGAAGATTAACCAAGGGAGAGAAAATTCAGCATGGCAGGGTAAGCACAGCACCTTCCTATAAAGGCAAGGACACATCCCATGGGGTTATCATGCTCATGGCAGGCAGGTAAGCTCCCTGCCTGAGCTAAACCAGTGCCAGAGAAGTCAGCTGAGCTGTATGAGTTTGCCCTATAACTGAGGCAAAGGCATTTCAGCATTATTTTACCTACCACCTTCTATGCAAACTGCATCTCCCTGGATGACCCAATCTAAGTACAGGTTCCAAAATAGGAATATCCATTGCAGAGAGCACATTATGAAAATGAGAGGGGGGAAAATATTATATGACCACTTGAGGAGAGAGATCTTGATTTGAGAGTTGACCTGAAGGGGAAAAGCTCACTGAGGCAATCAGGGTGAGGTGGTGGTCAGGGACAGAAGGGAATAGATTACAAAGGACTTGTAATCTTAAGCCTGTCCACAAACTCTTGAGGCTGGTTGGAAGGGACAAAGAGGTACATTGCTCTTCTCATCTTCTCCAAGAGAAGCACCTCAAAAGGCTGAGGTAAGGAGGGTACTGTGAAAGGAAAAAAGCAGACATAGTATTCCAGTTAGGAAGAGTCAGACATGGATGAGGCAGTACTAAATTGTAGGGAGGAAACAAATAGCTGAGGCTGCTGGTACTGGGAAGAGATGAGAGTAAGAAGTCAGACACCTCAAAAGAGGCAGTTCTTCCTCTAAGGAAGCACAACATTAACCAGACTGGGCTCTCCTCACCTCTCCTAATCAGCAGTTACTCACATGAGCCGTGTGATACATGACAGTTCTCACTCACACCAAGAACACATAACCACTGCCTCACATAGAGAAAGCCTTATGTGCATTCCAGAAGTAAAAGGAGCCTATGGAAATAACATGATTAATGATAATCATTCATTAACACCATGGATTTAAGTATGGCTGCATTACTCATCCATGAGGAAAACAAAAAAGAATTAACATGGTTGCTATGGCTGTGACACATAACCAAGTAGATATGCCATAATAAATCATTCTTTGTATCACAGCTGCTTTTTCTTGCTCACAAGCTCGATCCTCCCAACCTCTCCCTCTGTTTTTCCCCCAATTGCCTCACTCTAGGTTGACACTGGGGTTTATTCTCTCCTCCTGTTTTTCCCCCAATTGTCTCACTCTAGGTTGACACTGGGGTTTATGCAGCCTACCTGAAGGCGACAGGCTTACCCCTGTGTGTGTACATCGTTCTGTCTTTCGCGTGTCAGCAAGCTGTGTCGTTCTCCCGGGGTTACTGGCTCAGCATGTGGACAGATGACCCTGTTTACAATGGGACACAACAGCACACAGAGCTGAGAGTTGGAGTGTTTGGTGCATTAGGAGTTGTTCAAGGTTCGTCGAAGTTGCTCACCTAATTCTTCTCTGTATTCCCATCTCCCTTCTCCATACCCAGGAGGTTTTCTCAGAATATAAACAAGGGCATACCCATGGGCTTTCAGCCTCCTGGGCTTTTGGCACCAACCCTAAAGGTTTGGCATGGGACCTAAAACTACAGGTTCTGACGCACAGAGAGGATTTCTAAGGGATCTGAAGAATATTTTCAGTGACACTGTCTGAAATTCCACTTGATGGTATGCTAGAAGTGCTCTCCCATGCCTCTCAGCAGACCATAATGAAGTGTTTTCCACTATAATTCCTGCTAGAACTAAATGATCTGAACCCCTAAAAAACATTCAGCAATTGAATTGAACAGCATCCTTATTTTTCCTATCCTGCCCCCTTGTATCCAACCAACATCATCTGCATATCTTTCTTCCTCTTATCTCTTTCCATTCATCCAATATAGTTTAAGCATATCAAAGTGCAAGTGGTGGCTCTTCTCATGTTGAATTAAATCTTGGCTTAGGTCTTTTGCATGTAAAGAGACAAAGAAAAAGATGAACTTGTGGAGTTCTAAATTTATCTCTTTCTCCTTAAAATGGCCACAATTCTTTTGGTCACTCTACTTAAAATAAAAAAAAATCATTGAGCAATTCCAGGTAATTCCAATCAAGCTGATTTTGTGAGGAATAAATTTGTCCTATGTGTTTAAATTACTGAATCCATGGCCTCCATCGAGCTGGCTTAGAAGGTCTTCCACCACTCTTTAACTACCCTACAGAAAGGGCAGCTCACTCTGCAGCTCTGAGGCTTGGCTAAATTTGTATTAAATTCAGCTCCTTTCACTAGTGCAGCATTCAAAGTGCTACAGGGAAATCATGATCTTGCAAAGGGGAACTCCAAGGTGGATTTGTTCAGACCTAGAAATAATAATTTCTTTTCTGTTACAGCCCTTGGCAGGTTTGCCTCCACAACAGCAGTTCTGCTGGGTGGTGTGTTGGCCTCACACCAGCTCTTCCTGCAGTTGCTGAGCAATGTCACTAGATCCCCAATGGTCTTCTTTGAGCAAACACCCATTGGAAACTTGCTGACCCGCTTCTCCAGGGAAATGGATGCTATTGATTCTGTCATCCCTGACAAGCTGAAGTCCTTGCTGGGATTTCTGTTCAACTTACTGGAGATCTACATTGTGATTATAGTGGCAACACCATGGGCAGCAATGGCCATAGTGCCCCTGACTGTTCTTTATGCTGCATTCCAGGTAGGAGATACAGACAGGAGAGGCTGAAGCAGCATGGCCATGTCCCTGCAGAAAGCCTCCTTCCATTTCTTAGGAGCAGAGCCATGCAGAAACTAGTTCGATCATCTCAAATTGTATCTGAACAAGAGTAATGTCAGTGGTTCTTCCCACATCACCTCAGCCTTCCAAAGCATCCCAGAGCTCTCACAGAGAGGCTTGTGCTTTTCTGATTTCTAAATGAAGTCCTTCCTAGAGCTATATTCCTTGTCTCCATTAGTGGAAATTCAAGCATATTAAGACCAAAGGCATTTTTCCTTTCCTCCAGAATTCCTATGCTGCTTTTTAATATACCCATGTATGCCATGCAGCTCTGCCACTGGGCTCTGAAACCCCAAATGCTTTGCCAGCTATGACTGAACATAAGGGAAGGGCAAGTAATAGTGCATATACTAAAGCAAAGGGCTCACCTACAGGAGAAACTGAGTGTGAGTTTAGAAGTTTTGTGAGCTTAGAGCACTCTGGCTCCTTTGCCCTAACCACGAGGTTATTCTTACTGAAGACAGAACCTAACACAGGTAGAAACACTCCCTCACCTCACCTTTTAACAGCATCTCCTACCTGCCACTAAGTTTTACAACACCAGGGTAGTACATACTATTGGACTTGTTGAGACCTTCCAGATGCTCTGTGGAGCACCTCCATGGAGGCATAAGCCTTCTAATGTCTTCCCCTTCTATTTTCCCTTGTACCAGCACTTCTATGTCATCACCTCCTGCCAGCTGAGACGCATGGAGGCTGCCAGCAGGTCACCCATCTACTCCCACATTTCAGAAACTTTCCAAGGGAGCAGTGTGATCCGTGCTTACAAGGACCAGGAGAGGTTTGTTTTGAAGAGCAATTTTCTAGTGGATGAGAATCTGCGGATATGCTTCCCTGGAGCAGTTGCTGACAGGTACAAATCTACAGAGTTTGCTTTCCTGGTCTTGGTGTGTGGAGAGAGCTGCTCTTAGGGCTTGGCTGGAGGTAAGCACAGTGTTTAGGGGGTAGGGTAGCCTCTGTCATTATCACTTACACTGCACCCCTGACAATGTGCCCCTCACAGAGCCAACATGCTCCCAGCTCTGTTGTGTGGCCAGGCTGCTAAATGCTGTTAGAGGTATCACTTGGTAAACAAAATGCAGGAAGCTGTAGCACATGCCTGGTGAGGCCCATTATCACATGACACTGTGCACAAGGCCTGTGGTAAGTGCAGAGCACATCAGACAATAGAGCCATCAGTCACCACACATGAAACAAGGGAGGAGTACCAACAGGAGTGAGTTATGTTAGACAAACTCATCCAAGAAACCGCGTTGTCATCCAACAGGCCTTGCAGAAAATCCCAACTAAGACCATAAGCCAACCAGTTCAGACAAACTGTAGTCATTCATGAGCTTCAAGGTGGCTGGATAAGAGCAACCAGGGTGTGACAACAGCTTTGTTGAGTGTCCTGTCCCCCCAGCAATTCCACAAGTGTTCTGCAAAGCAATCACAGATTGCATTAGGAGAAAGGAAGAGGGCACTCAGCAACAGCCCTGTGCTCTCCTCCTCTTGCAGGTGGCTTGCTACAAACCTGGAGTTTCTAGGCAATGGCATCGTGTTGTTTGCAGCACTGTTTGCAGCAATGGGCAGAGCACATCTTAGTCCAGGAACTGCTGGCTTCTCCATTTCATATGCTCTCCAGGTAACCCAGTGTTGAAATAACACCATGTTTCCCTTTCATCAAAAGCAACTGCATTTTAATTTCTGCTACCATTTTAACTTCCAAGAAATCATGAATTATTTCTGTGCCTTTCTACATGCCTTTTCCTACCAAATCCTGCTGTCATTGCCAAAACCCAGAGGATCTGGAGCATCTGGGCTGTTAGGGGATGAACCTCATAAATACATGCACCAACCATCTTCTTCCTCCTGCACCTGAACTCACTTAAGTCACGCCATGCTCTGAGCAGCTAAAGGAAAGGTCTTTAGCATCTGTTTTACCTGCTTGTAGAATAATTACACAATAGGCTAAGAAAGAGCTACATTGTTTTTTAGCACTCATGTCAGTAACATTTCATTCTCTATAAACTTGCTGAGAGGACTATGGGAGGAGCTGGCAAAGCTCTTTAACACAGCTTCCAACTTTGACAAGGACCCCTTGTTATTTTTTAGTGGTTTAAGGTATGATTTCTGCAGTAATTAGCTGATGAGGAGGTCTTGATAAACAAACAAAAAGACAAAGTACCAGGTACCTCACAAGCATAGGTCAAGATTTATTTTATTCTGCCCTAATGCTTCTGTTTTGTTCTGCTAGATAACTGGTGTTCTGAACTGGCTGGTGCGTTCCTGGACAGAAATAGAGAACAACATTGTTTCTGTGGAGAGAGTGAGAGAATATTTGAGGACTCCTAAGGAGGTAGTTAATCCACTATTAACCTTACTAGCAGAGTTTGAACATCTCTGCACAGTAAACTCGTACCTTTTCTGTTCCACCTGAAAAAAACCCTGTGGTTTTCCCCTTCTAAAAGGCCACTTCAGTACCTTTTCTCTTCCACCTGAAAAAAACCCTCTGGTTTTCCCCTTCTAAAAGGCCACTTCTGTTTTCTTTAAAGAACTGCAGCATTTGGGTTTTATTCAACTGACTAGACTTGTTTTATAACCTCTGATCAACATTATTTAAGACAGTTAAGTATTGGATTGACATTAAAATAGCTTCACTTGCTAACACTCATGGAATGAGCTGTATTTTCTGTCCATATTTGGAGTATGTGTTTATTTTACAACTTCAGATGCCACTCTGATAACTGATGGCTGCTAGATAGCCTTTTAGCTGCTAGAAATCTTCAGTGCAATAATTTTTGTTCTGTAATCATTAAGGTTATAGCTCCATATGCTGCCCTGAGAGAGGAGATTTTGACAGTCCTGTTTACAGGGGCATATAAATCTTTTTTCATTGAACCACTTGTAATGTCACATCTCTGACATGCAAACAAAAGTTCATCCCCATTTTCAGTTAAGCTGATCAGCATCTTTGCATAAAGTCAAAAGTCAGCAGCTGCAGGATGAAAGTTAAATGCCTCTTTCTCTTTTGGAAACAGTAAAGAGGTTAGGTGGATTTGGCACAGATGTATTCATAAGCTTCCCTTTCCAGTATGGTCACTTGAGTGGGTAATTTAAATCAGCTTTATACATTGCTGTTTGTTTTCATCTCTTTAGGCACCCTGGACTATGAGTGACAAACCTGAAGGTCAAGTTTGGCTCACTGAAGGAATGATTGAATTCAGAAACTACAGTCTGCGATACAGGCCAGATCTGGAGTTAGCACTGAAGCATCTCAGTCTGACCATCAACGGGCACGAGAAGGTACACAAAGCCACACTGGTTTCACAAGTGTGAGCAGTGCTGGGCACTGAGCAGATCCAGGCAGATCCAGCCCCTGCCTGACACTGAGCTACAGGAACTTGTAAGTGTGAAAGCTGCAGCAAGAGCATGAGCCCATCTCTCACACTGCCCAGCTCTTCCAGTTCAAAGTAGTGTTTCCAGGCTTTCTGCATACACCAGACATTCTTCTGAGTGAAATTTCATTTCATAAAAGGTTAGCAGAGTTACAGCAAAGGAATTTCACATTTTAATTCTACTGCCACATCAAGGCCCTCTTCGAACTGCTAACTCCTGTAATTATTCTTTCAATCATAGGCTTTCAGGATCCCTTTTCATACAAAGCAATTACAAATTATAAATTATTCCCTTGAATAATTTATTGCTAGACTGTGTGAAACTTGAACAGCCCTAAAGATTTGGTCCATGCAAAGCTATCTCTCTTCAAAAGGCCAAGAGGAACTACATGACAGGTTTATCCAACTGTGGGAAAACAATCAACATCAGACCCAAAAGCTTTCCATTGCATTTTACAGATTGGCATAACTGGAAGAACAGGAGCTGGGAAATCTACTCTTGCTGTGGGATTGCTGCGATTAGTGGAAGCTGCGGAAGGAGCAATCCTAATTGATGGACAGGATATTGCTCAGCTAGGTCTCCATGACCTTAGAACCAAGATAACTGTCATTCCCCAGGTATGAAATTCATTTCCAAAATCCTTGAGCAGAGTTTTAAGTCTTGAACACCTAGGAAGGGTTTATAAAGATTCTGGGAGAGAAGGAACATTCAGACTCAGAATATAACCTCTCTCCCATGCTCACCTCCCATTCAATATAACATTAGTCACAGATTCACACCCAGCAGAGAAGACTGGAGAGCTCGTTTTTATAATTCATTTCAGGAGTTGTTTGTACTGTCTCTGTGCTCAGGATCCAGTTTTGTTTTCTGGCTCTCTAAGAATGAACCTCGACCCATTAAACCAATACACTGATGCAGACATCTGGACAGCTTTGGAACTGACTCAGCTCAAGAACTTTGTTGCAGATTTGCCAGAGCAGTTGGAATATAAGTGCACTGAACAAGGGGAAAACCTAAGGTACCTTATCTGCAGAAAGACAGTGGCAGGGCAGTGCCAGTCCATGGGCTAGGAGAACATAGAGCTAGTAGGACAAGAAGGCTATTTTGAAAAATAAACAAATTCTGTTTTAAAATGGTGCTCAGGCAGCAAATTGCTGCATTATTGTCCTGTTTAGTGCAGGAAATCATTGTGGTGCTTTGCATTTGTGCAATACTTAAACCCTGGAATCCTATCCAAGTGCAGATCTCCTGGGTGCCACAGTCATACCCTCCCTTCATTTCCCTTAGGTTGTTTCATGCTCTTACCTACCTGCAGTGCCACCAGCCTCAATCACCCTTTCAGAGAAAGGAAACAATCACCTTTTCAATACTAATTTCAAATGAATCATGTATTCTGACCCCAGGCAAAAATGACTACTGCTCTCAGTTTACATCCCCTCTTCTTACTTGCAGCACTGGTCAGAGACAGCTGGTTTGTCTGGCCAGAGCACTTCTGAGGAAAGCCAAAATCCTCATCCTAGATGAGGCCACAGCAGCAGTAGATTTAGAAACTGATCTCCAGATTCAGTCCACGCTGAGGACTCAGTTCAGAGACAGCACCGTGTTAACGATAGCTCACCGGATAAACACCGTCATGGACTGCGACAGGTAACGTGCTCAGCCAGGTAATGTGCTCAGCTGCACTCCTAAGAGGAGGGAAGACACAAGCAGGTGTGACTAGACACACCACACAGTGTTAGTGAACAGCCCTTTTCTTGTTTAACCCCCAAAGCTTTGCTTTAGAGATTGTGGGACCTCTCTTAAACCAGCTATGCACCGACAGGTTAATCAGAGATCATTCACTCCCACTTGATGTATTTCATGCTGTGTCATACCCCTCTTTCCCCCCACTGACAGCAAAACCATGACTACAGATCTTTGTGTCATCTAAGAGTTGTGAAACTAAAATACACTTTCATAAATCTTACTCCGGTCAATTGCCAAAAATCCTCCTCCCAAACTCAGCACTGGAATAGTTGCTCATCAGAAAACTATTTCTGTCCTATCACTGCTTCCCAGCTGAGAAGCTGTTGGAAAACTTGGTTGAATAACCAGTGAGTACTGAGATTTATTTTAAAACTAAGTAGAAATAACTAAGTTTCTTAGAGCTGCTGGTGTATCCCCAAGCTTATACTTCTCTTTTAATGTTCACAGGATTTTAGTCCTGGAAAATGGTGGAATAGCGGAATTTGATACTCCAGAACACTTAATAGCTCAGAAGGGACTGTTCTACAGACTGCTGGAAGAATCAGGCCTTGCATGATGACTCACTCATGGAATATACCATAACACCACCACTATCAGGAATAATTCATCTCCTAATTGAGCTATCTTGGTTTCTCTCTAAAATACCAAAGCTTGTTTGAGCCATGATCACACTGAGCATATGAAAAGGGATGACTTGGGATGCACATTATTTCCATAGAAACCTTAGGCATTCCATTTTCATTATGTTTCCAGGCACCAAAATCTCACTCGTCTGTTGAAAAGGAGCCAGTCAGGAATTAAATGGCTTTTTGCTTTCCTGGTGTAAAAGCAAACAAACCAAAAGAAAAAGACCACAGCGTTTCCAATGTATAGTATAAATGGAACCCAAATATCTGCCATAATTGAAGATTACACAGATTATTTTTAAAAGCCAAGAAGATTATGGACAGTGAGGAAGATTTTAACTGGTAGCAAGCAAACATCACTGTTTGCAGTTTATCCTAAGGTCCAGGCAGAACAAATGTTGTCTTTTGTGTTTTAAGAACTGCTCACCTGGGTGTTGTTCTTACAGAGATGAGGACTCCAAGGCAGTGTACAAACACTGGGGAGGAGGGAAGAGGACCAGGGATGCCAATAAGCACCAGAACACGTGGCTTCCTGTGGCAGTTGGGGATCAGATCCACTCACTCTCTCTCTGTCAGTTGTGGAGGTGCCCCGAGTGCATCGTGCTGTGCAGAGGGTGTCAGGCTGCCTGCAAAAACAGAGGCAGCTTTAACACAGGCTCAAGCATGCAGGAGAGTAACTTGGCTGGGAATGGGCTTGGAGTAGCCCAGCAAAGCATGTCCAAGCATGGACAGCAACATTTCCAAACTCAGCTTGGCCACAAGGAATTGACATGACTGGAAGTGTCCTCCTCTGATCCCTGCAGCTTAGCAGTCAGGCCAGTGGGGAAAGTAGCAGGAACTCACCTGTTGACCTGATGGTTCATTCCTGGTTTCCTTCTTAAGCAAGTTTATCTCCTCCATGTGCCACTCTGGCACCACAGAGCTTCTGGCATGGTCATCTCTCAGATGTTACTGTGCCAAATCAAAATGGTAACAGAAAGCAAAGTCTTCCTGGGCTTCTTACAGTGCTGTCCCCAAGGTCAGAGCTGTCTCCAAGTCTCTCCTCAGGAACACAAGATGACAATGTGACAGACAAATACACACTGTGAGATACTGCTGTTTACTGAGACTTTTGTTAAAGCACTTGATTTTCTAGAAAGCTGAAATAAAAAGAGAATCATGTATTGAAATGGACCTCTTCAGTAAGCTAAAGTAAACATAATCCAAAAAGGGGATGGGATAGTTCAAATTGGGGAGTGTTACCCACATCAGAAAAACTCAGCAGTTTCTTCTCCAACAGCTCATCAATGGCTTATGTACACATGTTAAGAAGGTTTTTGAATGGATTTCAAAACCAGGAGCATTCAGAACTAGTGAAAAGTTAGGTATTTTTTCTTTCTAACCTAGGTCAAAGAGGAACAGAAGTGCCCATGTGGCTGGGTAATGCTGCCACAGACATCTCTTACCATTCCATAATCTCCAATATAAACATCTTCTAAATGCTCGTTTTCTGTTCCTAAGTTGGTAATGAAGAGAGAAGGCAACAGAAGGAGAAAATAATCAAAACATACTTTCACACTGGTAATCTTTGAAAGGGCAGAGTTTTGCTGTCAGCTTGCACAAACTCAGAGCAAGCAAAAATACCATCAGCTTTCACACATCAAACTGTGCTGAAAGGGCAATAGAAAAGAAATTCCCTACATCACATGTGACAAAACCCCCATGTTGCAGATGAGCTAAAGTCCCCAAATGATGTGTCCAAGTGGTACTGTGACAAATCTGGAGCTCGAGTCTCTCAGAAAATGAGACAGTTATCACAAGGAAATTATCTGGAAGTTGGTTAAAGCAAACTATAAAGGAGTTAACACCTGGAGATCCCACAGAGGAGAGAAATGCACTTACCCAGAAGTGGTGAAAGTGTCCCAGGTACTAAACAGCATTCAATCCACCCAACACACACAAAAGTGGAAATGGATTAGGTAAGGAAAGTCTACTGATTCTAACATCAGTGTCAAAGACCTTACGCTGCAGAGAGCTGTACCACTTTCTGCAACTGGTGCTGGTAACACTGCACACACAGATCAGCACATGTCCTCTTTCCCAGCTGAAATGGGATCTCACAGCTATACTGCTCCTACCTCATGGTACCCCAAAAATACCTGTATGACACTGGTCTTACACATAGGATTTGTGGGAAGAAAGTGCATTTGTTCAGCTGCCTCTGTGTGCAGTGAAGGTCAGTTCAGACTGATCCTTATAATGCATACACTTTAGTTCAAATTACATTCAGACAAGATATTCATCATTTTTATGAGAAGAGACATTTGGAATCAGGATCATGAATCAATGTAGCAGCAGCACAAAGCATTAACAGGTATTTAGGGCAAACAGAAAAGAGCCTCTGGTCTAGAGCTGGGGCAGAACAGTTTGTGCCAGCAAGTGTATAAATACATAAAACTGGGAGAACACAGTGATGCATATTAACCACCACATCACTGAAAAAGAACAAGACTGAAGCCCACAAAGAGCAGTCTGCTGACCCCATGCTGTACTACTTAGGTTATACTGCAAAATTCAGCACTTTAGACATCCAGTTCCCCAAATGACCAGAAACGGACCACAAATAGAACAGAGAACACTGTTCAGTGTACTGCACAAGTCACATCCAGCGACATTTTCGGGCACACCCAGTTTGAGATTGTAAATGCAGTTTAAGTCATTACTTAGACAACTCCACTACAAACATGTTGCACAGTGGAAACACAATTCTGCAAGTTCTGTACTGCAAACAAACCATGCTCCTAGGCTCCATTGTTTTCTAAGGACTTACATGAATATGTTCTTGTAAACCTCTTGATCGTGTGCAATGAAAAGCATCATTTCCTCAAATCTGAAATCAGTTTCCACCAAAGTAAACTGTAGCAAGAAAACTTCCTTTGAATTCAATCCAAAACCTGCAGAGCACTTGCAGAGTCCCCAGCTCCGGAATGAGCTGCACTAAACCCACAAGGCTGTTCAAAAGCATTTGAAATCCAGTTTGAATTTCTTCACTGAACATTCTCTGCAGCTCTGCCATGAGGAAAGTGTTGGTGATGACTCGTCTGGCAGGGAAGGAGTGAACTTTGCTGTCTGGTCATCCAAGGACAGTGGCTCCTCTCTCCATTCTTTCCCAGGGCTCTCCTATGATGGGGTGGAAGGATCACAGTGTTCCTGGAGGATGATTGTCCCCAAACGAGAACGGTCTCACACTTGCTCCTCTGGGTCTTCTCTGCAGGTAGCTCTGTCTCCATGTTAATGCATCCACATACCTTACCTGACAGGTTCCTTTCTCTACTCTGTACTGCATTCCTATAAACCTCTTGCTCCAATCATTCCACCCTTCTGGCCATCACAGTGCTGCAGAAGTGTTTGGTGATTTGAAAAACTAAAACCCACTGCTCCCCCATAAACTCCCAAATCAGCCCTTGCTCATTCCACTCCCACAGAGAAAACTAACACCGAGCTGCCCAGGAAATGTGGCAGAGACAGGCCATGGACACCATGGGGGTGACAAGGGTCCACAGCACCATGGAATCCTGCTCTGCTGATCCATCATTATCATCTGGTCTGCTCAGCAAACCATGAGATGATCCAGCCCTACCACAGCACAGTTATCTGCACTCATGGTTTCTTACCCACCACCCCAACAACCCCCAGACATCAGGCCAAGCAGATTGATTAGTCTACGAAGGATTAATAATTTCCATTTTCAAGGCAAAATCCTGAACTGACATTGTTAACCCTTTGTCAAATACAAAGCAAGAAACATCATGTTTTCTTTCAAACAATTTTTTACTGCAAGTTCTTTGCAAATATTTGTATAGTCGTTACAAAAAAATACCAAAGAAAATTTCAGTCTATTCAATTTCAGAGAGTCATAATTTACAAAAAAATAAATAGCTTTACTCTAAGGACGACAATTGTCTAGTCTTAAGGTCAGCAATATCAATCACAGAAGTCCACGTTCTCAGGGTTGAGTATTTGGGTCTGTCTGACTTAAGTTTGCCTTCTTCCAGCATCTTCCTTTAAAATAAGACTAATCAGAACATTAGAAAAGTAACATTTTTCTTCCCGCAGAAAACTGAAAATTCAACATGGATCTTGAAAACCAAACTCCACTGCTAATTGAATTGTTAGACCCCTCTGACACACGACTTTAAAAACAGTCATTTATTTTTTTTCAAACTACTGTAACAGAACAGCTTCCCACAAAATTTAAGAGTCAACAGCAGCAGCATGAAGGGCATGATTCTTTGATATAAGGCTAATGGTCCTTGATGTGGCAGAGCTTCTAGTAAAGCACAGAACTGCCAAAGCCAAGGGTATTACAATCAACGTCACGCCAAGCCTGCAACTTGTGCTCAGGCACATCCTCACTTCTCAGCCTAGTCCCCACAGATGTCACCAGGATTGGCCACCCAAGTCAGAATTCCTGAGTGAACTGGGTGTAAGATCAGGTACTGCACACTGCAATGCACCAACTGCTGCACCAATTTGGTTTTGGAGTGATTGTCATTCTAGACATGCTTAAATACTGCTTTGAAGTTGACTGTGCTTTGTCACACAGCACTACTGACATATTATAGTGAACTTGCTGCTACACACTGTAAACACATGAAACCTTTAGGACAATGCATAAAGCATTAACCATGTACAGTAAATGCCATAATGAGAATGTCTGGCACACATGTTATTTCACAAGAAGAAAAATCTTTGGAGTATAGTACTATATGCCACAAAATGATCCAAGTGCATCCCACAATAGATGGCTCATCAAATGAGGAATCCGCAAACAAGCAAATAACAGCATTTGCAAAAGTGTTTTAAACCGAAAAAAAAAGGGAGGGAACTTCAGAACATAAGAGGAGATGAGAAGAAAAAGCTTTTCTGAACTTCTCTGATGAATCACTCT